TAATCCTCACGTCCTTACTAAGTTATCCAGAGAAACTGCTGCACCACGTTTCAATGCTTCATCTAGTCATCTTCATTCTGAACATTCAAGTAATCCAGACACTAACAGAAGCACGATATGTGTTGGTGATGTTGTAAGGCTAAATCCAGATGTTGATCAAGTTAGAGTAATGCAGACATCTCATGGCGGCTGGTGTGATTCTATGATTGCAGTACGTTGCATATCAGCAAATTTTAACGATCTACTGCCTAATATATCTGATAATAGTTACTATTTTAGAGTGATATGCATTGGTTTAAGCAATGATTATCTACTTAAACCAGTATAGTTGTATATAATAATTATAACTATAACCTAACGTGTTTAATTTCTGTATTCCAGAGTCTTGGTAAGGTTGGTCGTGTAACACATATATACGAGAATGGTGATATTAAGGTATAATAAATCTTCGTACTCATATACTGTAAAAACTATAAGACTTTGTAAGTGGTATAGCAATGTATTGATGCTTAATTAAAATCTTTAGGAAGATTAGATTACATTATAAACCGAAAATATAGAATTTATTCAATAATAGTAATTGTTATCATCATCATTAGGTGGAAGTGGATAATCAAATTTGGACCCTAAATCCGGGCGTTATCACTAAATTGCAGCCGAGACAATGCAATCCGGAATTCGCAGTAAATCAAGCTGGTATTGTCATTATTCTATGTCAATTTCCTATTATTAACCTATACCTTAGCTATATTCATACGTGAGTGATAACATAGCTAATATTTGTAGATCGTTTCTCGGAGATTTGTCGACAAGTTATTATGTCGAATTTAACAAGCGATCAAATGGTAAGCATTGTGTCTGAAGCTGGTCTACGGTTAGATGGTCAAAATTTCGACGATAGTAGTAGAGACTTGACTCAATTATCAGTAATAGAGTTTCTCATTAAAGCTGGCGCTAACCTTGAATTAGAAGTAAGTCTCCAATTACTTCATTTCATTGTCAGGAAGATTATACCGTCTACACACAATTTACCTCTACCTTATTTGACTTGATTAGGATGAACATGGCGATAGAATAGCCCACTGTGCGGGAATACGTAATAGAAATGATGTTATCCGCTTGATAAGCCGTTACGATGTTGATCTAAATACACGTAATAGTTCGGGTCAAACCCCTTTGCACTTAGCTGTATTAAAAAAGAATGCTCACGCTATTGAAGCTTTACTGGAATGTGGTTGTCATATTAGTTTGCAGGCAAGTTGAATTATCCCACAGTAAAATTTTGCCTCTTATGCGTTGAATAATTACACGTTTTGTAATTCACTATATCGTTTTTAGGACGTAGATGGAAATTCTCCATTACATCTTGCTCTAATAAAAAATAACGAAAGTATCATCAATGCCTTACTGCAAGGAAAGGCAGATATGTCGGTTACAAATAATGAAGGATTTAATGCTATCCATTTAGCAACGAAACTTGGAAATGTCAGGTAGACTATGACATACAATTGATTATAAAGAAAGTGCTTTATAGTATAAATAAATTACGATTCTGTCCATTTCGAAAATGGATTATAATTGTCATGGACAGGAGTTTTAATTGTTACATACCTTTTGCAGCAATATACAAGCGTTAATTAGAAAAATGCCCCATTCTTGGTATGTGAATATTAAGAAAGATGATGGCTATTCTGCCTTGCATATAGCGGTCCTAAATAGTTACATAGAAGTAGCAGACTTACTTATACAGCAGGTAAGAGGTCGTAAATTCTCACAACTAAATTACAAGCTTGGGTAAACGTTGCCAATAATTTTCTCTTATAGGGTCATGCTGATATAAATTCCTGTAATGCCATTAATGGTGAAACTCCACTACATATAGCAATCGACAAAGCAAATGTGAAAATGATAGAGGTAAACATAGCGCCAATATTGTACTGAATTACTAGTACAAGATTGAATATATCTACATAGATTAAGGTTACCACATGATAATTATGTTAAAATTTTGTCTCTTAGCTCTTACTTGAAAGAGACGCAGATATTAACCTTCAAGACATGATTGGTAATACGCCTTTACATAAAATTATCCGTACATTAACCCAAATTTTAGCTAGAGAAAAACAATCTGGTACTTACGAGAAGGTATGTCGACACTTACCTTGTACATCCTATTACATTCAAATGTTGACTCTTTTTTTACATTGGCACATTTAAGAAATTAATAAATAACTATTTATTTGACAAGATTGCGAAAACTTCTGCACTCTCCATCATCTCAATGTTGCTGTCGAAAGGTGCGAACATAAACATAAAAGACAACGAAGGATCAGCACCCTATGATCTTTGTGATCATTTCACGCTTTACTTAATTAAATTGCACTGTCAAAATGAAGAAGAGCAATCTAGGTATAGGATATCTGTGTTGTTAACTAATATATTTAATATCTGATAAAATGATTTTAAACGCTGGATTATTACGAAATAATAGCTCTAATCATGGTGAAGCTACAAACAAGGACACAAAATGTGCGATTTGTTCGACCGCTGTAAGAAATTCAATATTTCTTCCTTGCCAGCACTCGCTTGTGTGTTGGCCTTGCGCTGGACGAATGAAAAAGTGCCTGAAGTGCAAAAGATCCATTGAAACCTTTGAAAAGGTAATTTCTGAGACTGTATGTTAAATAACTCGATAGTTACATTTTTAATTATACTGCGCAATTGTTTACGTAAAATGAATCGTTTATGCGTTGTATTTTTGTCCGTTTTGGTATGACGGTAAACGCAGATTAGTTCCATTAGTAAGCTATAAATGGACCGATACACTGCACATTCTTTAGGCCAGTAGCTAGCTATGATACCATTAGCTATGTTGCTTTGTCCCTGTGCAGATAGCAATATGTCAAGTTTGTCGCCTTTGCGGAATTCTTTAATGTTTCCTAAAAGTGAAATAAAGTTGACACAAAATACCCGATGTATTAAATTTCCATTTTTGGAATAGGTTAACTAAAAACGTTTCCGTAGATATTCACTCAAGATTTGATAAAAAATGTTTCATAATATCATTCCTTTTGGACATTTGCTCTTAAAATGTAGTTGGAAACTTGTCGGATTTGTCATAAGAAAGTATCTGAAACTATATTTAAACCTTGCGGACATATTTCAACTTGTAAAGGTAATTTATTAGTTGTACCCAATCGATTTATTAACAATTGGTATTTAATAATTCTTTACATAATAATTTTTTAACATCCGCAGATTGCGGCTCTATGCAACGCAAGTGCCCAGTTTGTCGCCTTCGAATTGATGATCGAATACTATTAAATGCAGATCTTGATAGCGAAGCTGGTGAGTTATTGAATTTTCTTATAGTTATCTTGGTGCAATTTAAGTTAATAAGGATTTCTTATCTCCTCTGGTTTAATAGCGCGTGCAGTTAGCCCTGTAAATGAACCCTCACCAACTAAACGTAGTAGTATTCATGAAGTAGAAAATCTCAAGCAGGAATTAAAAGAACTGAAAGAGAAGGTGAGACTTTAGAAGGAACCTAAGAATTTATTATGCATTGAGTTTATGTTAAGTTCTTAACTAAACCCATCTAATGTGTTGCCTTTATTATGATGTAGACATTGTGTCCCGTATGTATGGACCGGAAAAAGAACCTTGTATTTCTTTGTGGCCATGGAATTTGTCAAATGTGTGGCGATCGTCTTGTAGAATGTCCAATTTGCCGCCGATCTATTGAAAAAAAGATAGTCCTATTTTAATTCGTTTTGTGCTTCTGGTACACTAATAATCTTATTTAAAAAATTGATAAAATTGAAATTTCTACACATGAAACACAAATCTTAAGTTATATTATCATTTAATATTTATTTAGCAGATTCTCCGTCTATTATATTTAATTACTGTGTCAGTTGCACTAATATTTGTTCGTAATATAGCTGACTATATCCTTGAAATTAATCTAATTAATTTTTTAATAATTATTATAATTAAGTGGAAAGTATACGAATTAGAGACACTTTATAAGCTATTTCTATTAAAAATTTTTACGTTGTGCATTGCCAGACGTATTCTAATCACATATAGTTACATCGAGTAACTAGGATGTATGGTATTATATTGTACTTACGCAATCGCTAACGTATATGCGGGTGCACCAAAATTCACGATATTGTTACTGATGTAATGTATTTAGTGTATGACAGACTGTCTTTCAATGTGTTTTAGCATAGGATACTATTGTATAATATGTAATTAATATTATGAAAAATTCATACATTGTCCACGCTATGTTATCACTCGTAAATGGCTTATCTTAGCTATATGCATTGTAATGACAATAAATTTTATTTTATATTGATACGCCAATAGCTATCAGAAGATGAAATCACAGGTATTTTATACAATATTGATGGACGTTTTATTGGTAACATGTAACCGTCATTAACGGTTGAACTACAGTGATTAATCGAGGCTTGGTACAATATGATGTAGTGTTCTTGTTAGATAATTTTAAATCCATAAACCCGATCGTAATTTATATGGTATGTAATTTTCGAGAAGATAATCAAATGAATAGTTGTAGAGTGCCTCGATCTCAATTTTTTGATTGTAATCCAGCAGAATTCTAGCCTGTTTGAAATATAATAAGCCCATAGCATTAGAGCACCTGATTAGAGAGGCATTTACTTTACTAATGAATTTCTTTCGCGCAGATTACACTTCATATGTACGCATAAACTTAAGCTTTTTTCGCCCGCATATGATTTTCAAAACAGTAGATTCGATAGCATGCGATTTTTAAAAATTATTTACTTCACCTCAGTTGCTAAAGCTTCGTTCTCTGTAATGTAAGGTCTTTTAATTATAGACTTTAATCGACTGCGTTCATTTTCTCTCATTGAAATGAATAATTTCTTCGGAATCCCAAGTCTTCAATGAAAAATCAACATAGTTTATTGTAGTTCCGTAAAACGAATATGTATATTTATAAATTATTTATTTCGCCATGTGTGAAATATAGTCTTAGATATAGGTATTTTATCGTTAGTATACTTGTTGAATTCACTTGGTAGCACTCCTAACCATTTTATTAACGGAAAACAGAGATTTTCGGCTTCGAAAGACATTTCCTGTAAATTAGCAAAGAGAAAGCCCTGATAAGCAAAGATATAACGACATTTCTTATACTAATTATAATCTACTAATTTTCGTCTATTCCGTGGAATAGTAGTGATTAATCATGTATATGATCAGTAAATAAAGGTACATTGTCCTTACAAATATCCAAATACCTTCGATCCATATTTATAAACGCAAAAAATTTCTAGACCTACGTTGCATTATTCATGTCACAGATTTACGAGTAAAAAAACTGTTATAAGCCTATAATTTACAGTTTCTGCTTAAAAAAATTAATCGTAGACGTCCTATATTACCATATGGATCTGCATCAGTCAATACGAAAGTTGGTAATTTTAAGGCATCCCATAAAAAGCGAATCATTAAACGTGTGCTCATATCTGGATAACCTTTACCCTAATTATGAATTCAGGCATAATAAAATTAGATCAAATGTATCCGTTTTAAGTAGGAAGGCATCTGATTAGTCAAAAAAATTTTTATATTATTAGATTCGAAATACATACGGTAATTACGATGCATGAATTAAGTTTATCTTTAATATTTCCGTCCAGTAATCTTTGAAAAATTGCCTCTTTTTCAACAATTAAGACGAATTTTGCAGTAGATTCTATACCTATTTGATTTCATAAATGCCGATAATTTCAATGTAGAGTCCGGTAGTATCTATCATTAATACTGTACTGAAAGCCAAACTGCTAACAAATCTTACTATTACCTGCAATATCTGCTACAAGTGGTATACTTTGTATCTAAGATATTTAATATAGACAAAGCGTTAAAAGATAAATTTTCATCAACATAAATCTTATGTGTTGTTTTGATAGAAATTTCTCTTAGTATTTTTTTAACTGCAAAGAAATTAATTTATTATCTAAGAATTATAACCTTATTTTCGAATGAGCCGCATAGAAAATGTCCGCTCTTCATAATAAATCTAAAATCGCCCGCCATTAAGCCTAGAAGTTAACACTTTGATATATCAGATTTCTTTAGATGGTAAAAACATTTTTAAATATTAAATTTTAAATATACTGTACTATACTTTAACATGCGATATACATCAATCAGTTATATCTTTTTTGATAGTCAATTGCTACCTTTTGGTGAAGCTACCTGAAGTTAGAAGTGATAAAAGAGTTACAAGAATAAAGTTTTAAAATGCTTATAGAATAAGAAAAGATGCAATAAATAGAGGAACCTATCTATTTCTGTAGACTTACGCAGTGTAAAGAATTTCTAGGTATTTGCAACGTGCAAGCAATGTCATTAAGTATTCTATCGACAACGTTTTGGCTACCAAAAAAGTCTGAATCAGTGTAGTATAAATCTCTAAAGAAAAGAATAAATCAAAGGTAATAAACAGGCTTTGGATCAAAATTTTAATATATTAATTATTAATGTATGATGAAGAAACATTACTTAGCATGAATTAAATCCTCTTTATATCAAAAAGCGACTGCAATTCTGACCTTTTTGTTATTATAGCGTTTGTTTGCAGAAGATGAATGCAAATGCCAATGACCTTAATCAACTTCCCTAAAAAGTATAAGGAAGTCCGGAAAGTAGCTTTTGTTTTATTTATTTATACAGAAATAGATATCACTACAGTTGTTGCAGATTCAGCCGATATAATGCCTACAATTATACGCCGTCTGTCGATTAGTGGGCTTCTTTGATGTTGATTTAGGTCGTAGGGCATCTTTGTGCAGCATTGAAACTCCATTGTAACGTGTAAACCTTTATAAATATTCATATCGTGTTGTAATAAGATTTTTAACCTAAAACAAGTTGCTATACATTATGTAATTAATGAAATGCCATTACAAGGCTACTGGTATGGAAGGTGACTACCTTAAATTGGACCATGAACGTCTTTGGCTGCTACTAGTCAACGTGCTTCCTACTTCATTGTGCCAGATATTATTCTTAATTGCAGCTTGTAGACGCTGTAATTCATGTATTATTTTTTCACTAAAGTTGTATATTAGAAATTTACTCTTTGTTAAGGTATAACAAAGCTAAGTTAAACGGATATAAATGGTATCTAACACCCTATTTATGATAAATTTAGCCTGGCTTTATTCCAGGAGCGATTTCTTACATATTGCTGTATTGTTAGCAATGAAAGCTAGTCGACTATATATTTAAAAAATTGAGCTACTCTTTCAGTAATATTAATAATGTTATTGATATAAATCAACCGCTTTAATGATTTGTAGATTCAATGTAATATGGTAATTTACATAGTTCTATTTTATTGATCGCAAGAAGAATGACAGCGTTAATAATGTAGGATACTATAATTATCAATATTTTGTCAATGTGTAAGCTAAAAGAATCTTCATCTTTTCTGTGAAATTTATCGCAATATCAAATATCGACACTACCAAAATGCAAGAAATCTTAAAAAAGCGCTGCCTGAGCTTAAAATACTAAATTGAATACTTCGATAATTGTCGTAGTTGATATAACTGGCCAAATTCTCCAACTAATTCTTGCTTTGATGTTGCAAGGTATGAAGATTCCAATAAAATTAATTCTCTTTGTAATTGTTCAAGTTTGGTAGTTAATATAGACGCGAAGTTAGGTACGGTGCGATTTGGACAAAATGAATTCTATATACACATTGTTAGATTTATGCATCAAAATGTTCATTAACGTGGAATTAGGTACGACTTCGATAAATATGAATTCTATATACATTGTTAGATTCATGCATCAAAGTATTCATTGAGGCGCAGTTAGGTACGACTTCGATAAAATGAATTCTATACACATTGACAGACTTATACGTCAAAGTATTCATTGACGCGGAGTTAGATTTATGCATCATAATGTTCATTAACGTCGAGTTAGGTACGACTTCGATAAAATAAATTCTATACACATGGACAGACTTATGCGTCAAAGTATTCATTGACGCGGAGTTAGGTACGACCTCGATAAAATGAATTCTATACACATTGTTAGCTTTATGGATTAGAGTATTCATTGGTGCGTAGTCACGTACCAAACTCCGTAAAATAAAATGGAACTAAATCGCGTTGTAAGATTTTCAGTACTTAAGCTATAGGAGGAATAATCTGTATTAAAATTCGTACGATTTTATGCGTCGAAATATCGAGAATGATATGCAGTTGCATGCATGATTTCAATAGAATTAATTCTCTGCATAAGAGTTTCAGCTCAATATTGAATACAAGTGTCATTACAGCAATGTTTGTCAAGACTCTTTATATATAGGATTGCCAATTTTTCGATGTGATAATGTCTTTGATACCATCATTTATAGAGTTAAATGCATTTACATAGTCAGTTTGATAATCATGAGTTCAGAAGGACATCACGTATAATACTTACGTTTATGTGTCGAAGTATTGGTCCTAACGTGCAGTTGTGTAATGTGATTTCAAGAAAATAAATTCCCTTTGTAAGTGTCAATTTCAGTAGGTAATTCAAATATCCTTACTGTACTATTGTACGTATATCATGAACCACTATACAATAGGCAAAATAACCCAGAAGTACCGTATAGGATATCTTATAGAACACCAACATTAGCACATCGAATTGTACGTGGCTAATCGATTGGATGCGATAGCGTGCCGTAGGATGATTTTACATAGTAAAAGATAATAAGATTTTGCACCCAGTCTATGTAATAATGGTCCTAATTTCAGATATTGAATACACGTATAACATACAGAACATCAATATGAAATACAATAAATCAGCCCCTGTACAGTACAGTAGTCCATATATAGACATCTAACGGCAATAGCTTGATGATAAGGAAATCAATAATGAGCATAGTATCACATTATAAACGTAAACTACCTTAAATATGTTGCATTACAATAAAATATAGCCTGAGGAAAGTAGTTAAATCATCTTGAATTTATCTTTTTTGTTACTTAGTCTGATAGATATATGATTGCCTAAATAAAAGCAGTGAATATCAACTTTTGATAGCTCGTTTAAACTTTACTTTATAATTCGTTTAACTACAATTTAATCATAGTAACAGTATATGATCGTATTACTGCGTTATAATGACTTTGAGTTGAAAACACGGTATCAAACGAGCACTTGAGCAAGAAGCAAAATAATTTTACCCATGTCAATAGAATTCTACATAAACAGTTAAGAGGATACAACTTTGCGGTAAAGATAAAATTGGAACATTAATTACAATTTCGATTTGATAGAAAGTATATTAAAAGCAATAAATTAAAAAGGTCTGAAATGGGGTAGCAGTTAGGAGTCTTATCTACTCAAGTTCTACATTATATTGCAAAGTATGATATGACTGGTGTTAGGAACATACTTGCTATAGTAAAATAAAAAAATGATTTTCGAGTATTGTTATTGCTTAGAATAAAGTAAAGGCTAGCACTAGATAGTATTATATGAGGTAGAGTATACAGAATAGGAAATGGTCCAGACCAAACAGGCCCAGGAAATCTTCCGTTCTGGACCATATCTTCCAATAGCCTACCAGGCATTAGTAAATGATAGCATTTAATATTGATTATTGAATGAGTACAGCTGATTTTATCATAAATCAAGGCATTACCTTTCTTTTTTACAAAATAGGTCATATATCCATTTTTTTCGACTCTCTTCATCCTATCAATGACATTTTAATAAATAATACAGAGTGAATGCTAAACCCATAATTGACTAACAGTAGTAGATCAATGCTGTATACCAACGTTTTTGATATATCCTGTGAAAACACATTGGTATGAGAAACTAACATGAAAACAAGTAATTTTGTTGCCACATACCTTCGGAATATCCTTTGTAGCGTAGCGTTGTAAATAAATATGTAATTTCCTCTTAGGATTATTAAAAAACTCTATAAGAGAGGACAACAAAAGAAAGTAATACGTAAGATCAAGATTAGCTACATAAACGTAGTTTTTGTAAAATTTATAAAAATGTGTTTATTTCGATTAATTTCCTAATTTAGTATCAACCTACTTACCACCCATACTAGGAGCGGGCTCCCTTACTTGTTGATAAGTTTTGGCATCATCTGTATAAGCTATCGTTATATCATATACAGCATCAAAATATTCTCCCAGCCTCTCCATACTGACCTATAGAAAAGTTATCCATAAGTATATTCATATTTAAAACGAGTAAAGTAAGAGTCGACTTCAGAAATTAATATACGAAGATCAATTTACTTCGGTAGCTTTTGTTCTAGGAGTAAGTACTTGAGATAGAACAGGTAAGCCTAATAAAGAAAGCAATTAAAACTCTTTGTTATTAAGTCATACGCGAATATAGATGGAAAATCTCAAGTATCCATACGATATCGGAAAGGGAATATGATTTACAAGGTAAAAATTAAACAAATTAGTGAAAGTTTTATACCAAGATCTAATGCATAATTTTGACTCTTTTCAAGTACATCCTTCCTAGTGGCATTGAAACGGGTACCCTCAGGAAATACCACTAACCACAACTGTTAAAATTTTAGAAGACAGCAAGTAATAAGAATACGTAAGGAATAACGAGAAGACATATTCGAATTGAAGCGCACTCTTATAATTATTACTCTGGATTGACTATTAATCGCTTACAAGACATTGACGTGCCATATGTAAAAATACATTTTCAAGTAAAGGTAACTTACCGGAATTTTAGTTTCTTTATATGAATCTAGCTGTCTAAGTGTGGAATAATAAAGCAAAATATCAAATGAAATGTCCTTTAATTAAACAAGAATCGATATAGATAAAATCTAATTTAAAGCTGTATCTAGTTATAAATAAAAGAGTATATCTAAATGTTGACTTCAATATTTCAAGTTATTCTACAAGAAATTTTAATATGCATTTTACATCCATGAATTCGAAATATAAAAATTTTAGTTTATAGAACTACTGACTTTCGTACCCTATCTTTCATTTTCACAAATCGAACAGCAGCGTAGCATTAGCAATATGATATATAATTACGAGTACCTTATAAACTTTTCTCGATTCCACTGCTTCTGTCTCTTCAAGTACAGACATCCGTGCTATACAGTAAGAATTGAATGTGATAAAAATTTGATAATGAAAAATATTAAAATACTGTATAATTTGTTAAACGTATCAAATTTATGTAGGAAATTTTATAATGTGAAAGTTTGTAGCTATCTACCCATTTATCCATCTTTCACTGATTACTGTAATAATTTAGCTCTTACAGTTACTGGATTACCTGTCGAAAATATAATCCATACAACGGTATAAATTTTAATTCGTCCTTCAGAATATATCTAACTCTCCCAATACAGCCGAAGCGAGCTGCAACCATGTCAACGATGACCCAATCCACTGTGTTAAAGGAAGAACTTATTGAAATTGATATAATTGTACGGTATTATAATACGATCTCTTAGTTTAGGATAAAGATAACATATACCCGTTGTTCCCTATGCTATATTTTAAATTCTGATTAGCAATTCTCAACTAAGATACAATAACTATGTGTTTAATAATATTGGTACACTCCGAGGACACGATACAGTACTATACCACGTTATTCATATAGCATTGCAGTATGAAGTTGATCAGCAATTTGCTCTAAATAATAAGCACAATGCCTCGAATTGCAATCACATATTTACAGTTAGTGATGAAACAATATTACTCACTGGTCGATTGATGATTGCTAATGAAAAGCACATTTTCTTTTCCATCAGGCTTATCTCCACTGATGACAATCTTTAGAGTAAAAAATGAACAAAATCATCAATAATTATAATTATATACTTGCCCTCCATTGACCGATATGTGAGCTATAGAGCTAAAGTGAATCTGATTGCAAGTCGAAGTGCCCAAACGCACATCTGATATTGTTTATGCAATAATTAATGTAGTACAATGTAGTCATGGAATATTAAATTATTATAGTAATTTAGCAATCCACGTACAGATGTTACAGACGTCACTGAATTAAGAGTACGTAATCATTTCGAGGGAATTCGCTTTTGAAAGTAATTGCTATCACTATGTACAGTACACGTAGTTTAATTAATCTGTGACATTAAATATTGTTCCTACTGCACACCAACTACCACAATTTTATACGAAAAGATTATGGGTTATTTAATAAAGTAAACCGCTCCATCAATATATAAAAATTGATATTCCGTGACAGAATTAAGTTAATATTGCGTCGCTCTATCATATTCTGCAATTTATAGCGTTTGATAAGTAGCTTTTCAAGCTACTTATCTTCACTAAAGCTGCCAAAGATTTGAGGTAAGTTTCAACTTTAGCCACTGTTAGTTTGATTACATGACTTCATCTACTGCATGGAATAAGAGTAACGTGTAGCAATCGATTCATTTATATCATGCAGCAAGAGATGTTGATGGATTAATCAATTAGTATCTTAATACAGGTATTGTTGTACTGGGTTTTACTAGTCCCGCTGAATAAGCCTGCTACCGTAGTCTACATTAGTACTGTAGCTAATCAACTTACGTCAGCTCCGGAGTAAGATTCGAAAAAGAAGAGAGCTAATTTCTGATAGGAGTCATACATAACGGAATCTAGTTTATCATAGAACCGCTGAGGCAATAGACATGTTAGCATCTTAGCAGTCGAAAATGCTATAAAGTACCCCGGGGCAGCGGTAAGTAGGCCAACAGCCGGCACACACCAATTCAGACTTCTCGTAGAAACTATAATCGATTGTAAGACCATGTTTTCCTATAATTTTCAACATTGTAGTTGTAATATTTAGCGTTATAATAAATTACAGTTCTTATGCTTGTCTAGTCATGCCAGATGCAGTAGTTGTCAGGAATAACATGAGCAGATCAAAACTGTTATCGTAAATACGTATCCTATTGTCGCCTTGTCCGCATGAAACTGTACGTGCCAATCTGTTACTAAGAGTACGACTAAAGGGGAGGTGTTTCATGATCAGACCGAGCTATGAATATTATTCTTGTAATAAATGCGTAATCACAGCAAAAACTAAGGAAGGAATGATAGCTAGCCGTTGCGGATAACAAAGAAAATATAGAGTATCATCAATAAATTCAAATTAAATTAAAAGTCTAATCCTTGCAAGTTGCATACCTGCTCTTGTTAGCAATTGACCAACCTACGGTACTCTACTGTATTACGTTGAATACGCTTATTTAAACTACAATTTAAAGTATAGTGTCAATTATTCAATGTGAGTTATGCTTCCAAGACTGTCAGATCTTGCCATGCAAAGAATTAGAAAGCAAACTAACCCAAGAGCTATTTCATAGATTGGTTACAAGGTAGCAAAATCAACAGATGATCAGCTTTCATTCATGCAGGTTGCAGCCCCGGAGCTCGCTGAACGCCTTTCGTCGGCGTGGTCTTTCCCATAAGCTTAATAATAGTGTACTGTAGCCTGGACGCTAAAATATTATACTGTACAGTATAGCAAGTACAAACACATCGCTGAAACGCCTTGAACAGCAATCGACTTCACTATAGTACGATACTGTTTCGGAAAGACATGTGCCGATGTTGTACTGTATACGCATGCGTATGGCTGACGATGACGATTGCTGCATTCTCTAGCCATGACAGTACTGTACTGTACATCAAGCCGTGGAATATCGATCAAGTTTCCGGCCTCTAATTTAATTGAAAGATTGATTCACAGATATATTTATTTAAATTGCCATCATGGGTAACAGAAAACGGAGCAAAAAATCGGGCGGCGATGCTACATTTAATAAATCAACTGCTAGTACAAATCCAGGTAAAACGCATGACTCGTAGATGTGGAAGTGCGGCTCTAAAAAAACCTCAAAACTACAACGATGCGATCACTTGTAGAGCAAAGTAGAACGATCTTCATTGACAGTGAGGACAAATTATAATAACAAGGATCTGTTAAAAGTGGAAAAAAGAAAGTCATCATTTCCCTATATTGCTCGGAATGGCTCATCTTACCTTGCCATCAAAATTGTTGTTAATAATTAACAAGCCAAACAATGCGTTTGATATTCTCTAGTAATTGATACCAAGCTTGGTATAATGATCGCATCACAAACCTTGCCAACCACCACGATAAATTCTTGTAATTCTAAATTCTACTGACTGTGTACACGTATGCCATTGAGAAGAACATTTGATACAAATTGAAGATTGTATATCATTGTACTGCGTCAATGGCTGAGTGAAATTTGTTGTGTTTGAATGTTAAAAGAATAGCTAGTGTGCAGCTCGATACCATGTTCAATGTGTTTTCTTCTGATATCGGCCTATCTTATTACAGTATACTGTTCGTACACGCTTAATGGAAGTAGTGTTTAGTTACTACAATATTTTAAGTTCCGCAAATACAATTGAAGCGACTATACACGCACATTAAACCGTTTCAATCTAATTTATCACATTGGTCCTTAATTAAGCTAGTGTTGCTGTCAGTTATGTACTGTTCTATAGATTTATTCTATCTTGCTAAGATTGCATCGCTATAATACAGTAGTACACATAGGCGCCACAGATATTATAATATTGCTATCTGGCTAAATTTTTCTAGATCGTCCCAAGCCGGCCGCAGGCAGCAGAATGCGCGATAAAGCTACGGTTAAACGTCTTAATATGTACCGAGATACTGGCAGATCTAGAAGGTATATTGATTGATTTAGATTATTGAACTACATTATTACAATTTATAAGGTAGCATAAGAAGTGAACTTTCTTCAGCATGACGAATCTTCGCAAACCTTAGCGGTTCTATGTGCCTAATTTACTAGCCACCTTCATCTCCAAATTTCAATAATCACACATATTCTTTAGAAATTCATCTGGAAAAATAGTAAAGCGAGCTGCATTCCAATCGTACGCTGAAAGTGGAAGCGTTGCTAGGATTGAACCTAATCGAAAGTGGTTCGGTATGTATATTTGCCCTCGCCCAGTTCTATTCCAATAACAAAATTATTATTAGTCTGCAATTGCCAACGTCCTATTCCCCTTTTATGTAAATACGTGATATAAAATATCAATCAGTCAGTTAATATCGTAAGTTTAGCTAAATAGATAAAAATTTATCGTGCAGTTCTAAAGGATAAATTATGATAATGTGATTACAAAAATGCTCGTTGGACGATATTTGAAATATTAAACTGCATTACAGTGCACTACTGTATATGCTAATAGTGTTTTAAATATACTTGTTGTATTTACATAGCAAAGTGATGCATTGTCCAGTTAGCTGAAGCAATAACCAAATGATGCCTCTTTAAAAGAAGTATTTACATGTAGATATTCTCTTATTTAGGTAATACGAAAGTAATTGCTCAAAATGCATTACAAAAATTTCAGGCTGAAATGGGTAAAGTATCTAAGGATCCATTTCAGGTAAAGCATGTAGTTACGTTTACATATTTATGTACTACTGTTTGGTATCTGACTATCCTGTGCAGTTATTGAAGGAATATCAGTTATTCCGTAGGCTTTCTGATAGTGAAGTTACAGCAACTAATGTTGCTATGCAATACACTGTGTCACGCCAGTAATAGCATAAGTTCCTAATAAAATCAGCTTTACATCTAAATAATGTTCCTTTATCCATACTGAAGGTAATTTTACGACAAAGCAAATTACCAATGTCACTATTAAGAGAAAGTACCAAGGTACGTATTAGTTGGTAGGGCACACTTTTATCTTGTGGTCTAAATTTTACTGATTATAAAACTATTCAATGTGATGATGGTAACTATTTATATTAATATTAAGAATATTGCATTAATTTATTGAGCAGAAAAATCGAGCTCATATTCTTGATGTAGAGAGTTTCGAAAATACCTTTGGTCCAAAAGCTCGTCGTAAGAAGCCTTCTATACAGTCAGAGGACCTCCAGGCAAGATTTAATAAAATTGCATATACTATATTACCGAAGCACTAGTGCTTTAAACTAACTGCCTCGATTATACTCTCCCTAATTAATAATACAGAGTTACGTCGATCAAATTCAAAAGGCTACCGGTATGTAAATTGCTACAGAATAATAAATCTTTTGAATTTATTTTTTGACAGAATCTTTATTAATATAACAGATAGTTACGATGCTAATCAAGATAAAGATTTAGAACGTGCAACTCCGGATACAAAGTAGAAAAACGCATCCTATTCTGACAATATTTGTTTATAGTGCTCTTTTGCCTTTTCAAATTACGTGCTCAATGTCTGTTACATTCTATGTATATAGAGATGAAACTCAAGAGATGATATTTACAGCTGGACAATCTAAACGTATTTGGAATGAACTCTATAAGGTAATGCAGTTATAGTACAACGGTAAACTATCAAGTACTCATCTACCTTTTTAATTAAAACTATTTTTCACTTATTCACTAATTATAGGTGATCGATTCGTCAGACGTTATAGCGGAGGTACTACGTTCATTCTTGCTTCTACCTTTTTAAAAACCGGTATCACATATCCTTATTCATGTAAATGCACGTGAACACTTTGAACTTTCATTAGGTTTTGGATGCTAGAGATCCAATGGGAACACGCTGCAAGAATGTAGAAAATTATCTCGCCAAGGAAAAGCCTCATAAAAATCTCATTTTCATTTTAAATAAATGTGATCTTGTACCTACTTGGGCAACTGTAAGTTATACATCAGTAGAAACCATTTCAAGTCTTTTATATTACATAGAAGTTAGAGTGAATCGTCAGATCCTTAGCAGCTTTTGATAAGATCATGTTTAGGTATTATACATATTTACTTATTCCCGATTTAACTGATTACTTTTCATAGTCACGTTGGGTTGGAATCTTATCGAAGGAAAAGCCAACTGTTGCTTTTCATGCTAGTATGACAAATCCCTTTGGTAAAGGATCATTAATTAATGTGCTGCGTCAATTTGGGAAGGTAACTAATTTCGTTGTCATATTCATCTAACATCATACTATACTATTCCTTTATAACTTTGACTTCTTAAAATGACTTGCGTAGTGCAATTATGAAAGTCTAATGCATACTTGCATTCACATAACATTATTACCACTTGAAGTAAGCTAATATAATTTGTACTCATTTGACAGCTTCATAAGGATAAAAAACAAATCAGGTAATTCTAAATACTCATGTATTTGTTGTTGTATTTCGTAATACTTATGTTATCATGAAATCGATCATACGTTGTAGTGTTGGATTTATCGGATATCCAAATGTTGGGAAAAGCTCTGTAATTAATGCACTAAGAGCCAAAAAGGTCTGTAGCGTGGCTCCTATTGCCGGAGAAACTAAAGTATGTATATAATCAATATTCTACAAATATGCTTAGAAAATATACATAGGAAATGGGTCACAGAGTAAACGGCGATTATCCACCACTTATAGTTAATTTTGAAAAAAATTCTATAATTATTTTCAGGTGTGGCAGTATATCACTCTTATGAAGAGAATTTTTTTGATTGATTGTCCTGGTGTTGTATATCCTGCAGATGACTCTGAAACAGATATCATCCTTAAGGGTGTTGTAAGTTGAGATATTCTGGTAATTAATTGACAAGACTAAACATCTAAGAATCGTAGTATCTTAAATTATCCTATTGGTACCTATTCCATATTAATTAGGTTCGAGTAGAGAAAGTAAAGGAACCTTCTCAATATATTCAGGCCGTTCTGGATAGAGTCAAACCTGAATATATACTCAACACGTATAAAATTCAGCCTTGGAACGATGCTGTACACTTCCTGGAGCAAATCGCTAAGAAAGCTGGCAAGCTATTAAAGGTACCGAAAAGGTTCTCTCCAATGATTTTGTAACTAGACTTCACTTATTTTCTGCCTTAACTAACAGGGAGGAGAATGTGATCTTAATTCGGTTGCGCGTATGATTCTCAATGACTGGCAGCGTGGTAAATTACCCTATTTTGTTTCTCCTCCGAAATTGGATGACGAGCAGGTCACTGAAACAAAAGAGGCCATTCCATCCGATAAAATAATTTCTACTGATAATTCTGAAGGTGTTCTTACATTAAAGGATACAACTTTAGAAAGCATGGAGAACAATCTTGAGGTTTGTCCTTCGGATAAAGAAGATAACGACCTTAAAACTGATGAAAAGAGTGAGACTTCAAGCACATTATCGGATGGCGACGACGATACCGAGCTATCTGGTGATGTTCATCTGAATACTGATCTATCTAGTAATAAAAGTATAAATGATCCTTTGGACGCTGATATATCAAATGTAAAACGACCAACGTCGACGTATGAAGTCTACTCGAAAAACAATGTTATTTGCGTTGTTGCAAAAGGTGATTCTCCAGAAGCTGATATAAGAGACGATGAATATACAACATCAAGTGAGTATGATTCTAATTAAAGAAATGAAAGTAAATTTTCTATGACTTTTGCGACTAGGTATTTGTAGTATACATTTTTATTCCTTTCCGTACGTAATTGTTCGATTCCTACCTCGATTAGAAGCAAATAGAAAAGGTGCTAAGAGAAATTCTAATAAACCATATAAGGTATTGGCATTGTAAATAAGTTTTACGGTGGATATTATGCTTAGCCATATGAAAACAGATTTTGACATTGTCTAAATAATATACCTATAGAGACAGGAAGTAAACAAGAAGCGAAAAACTGGATTTCATTTTTATGATCAAGTTGATCTAAAAAATAGACGATCTTGCTAGAAAACGATTGTAATAAGATTTGTATAAATAAACAAAAGAATTTCACATTACTTAAAATCTTTGACTAAGTTTAAGTTACAAAATTATTTTATTGTGCCGTTCCCAATTTGAGTCGTTATATGCTCTCGTATTCTAGAATACATACAAATACGTACTTCGGGATTAGTTGTCGTACTTTATATTAATCAGAAATCAATGATACAGTACGGTGATTATAATTCAGTTTCAATTATGATCAACCGGGTCAGATAGTTGTAGCTCCAACGCTTTCTTTTCCCTTAAATCTGCTATTAATGGACTTTGCGTACACCTACGTTTATTTCATATCGTAATGTTTCTATTTTATTAGCGATCAACGACTCTTCAGAAAAGAAATTTGAAACTTGTATTTATGTTACAGTATATCAAAGCAGAGGGTGTTGCTAATTCACGGTTATGATAATTGAATTCTTTAAGATGATTATATCAATTACTAATTACTACGTTAAGATTTAGCAGATGTACTGAAATTAAATACGATACCTGTATATTTCTATGTATACTGTAATAGACGCTAAAGTCTCAATTATGATGATCAATACTTTTTACTATTGTAGTAATTACCGATAATTTATATTCAGTGCGCATTACTTTCAGGTAATTGCATGGATGAACTACTGTAATACTGTAATAAATTGAAGTGTTTCCCTACATCACTATGACTAAATTGTATACTGTACTCTGCAATTGTCCGTTAATATCTTCTTGTACCGTATGTTTACCTTAATAGTGGTGGTGTCCAACAGCGATGTTTTGCTGAAAATTTGAAAAGTACTAATTATACGTAGGAGCAAGTTAAATATCATAAAAATTTATTAGCTCCAATTATTCAATCTATGTTCACACTCTATTGTTATATTTCATGGAATAAGCCATTGCATTCAATCCGGATTAAATAGGCTGAATTGGATGACATCTGCTCCACTAAGGTAGTTACAATTTAATCATTAAGCCATTTTTGAAAGTCAATCGCGCACATTGTTCACAGTATATAGGGAAATAAGAAATTGAGTTGATAGATATTATGAAATCGACAAAATTATTGTAATTGAATTAGCGTAAGTTAGGTTAGATATATGAGATTTAACTGTAGGCACCCTTATACTGTTTTAAAAATATTTATTGAGGCACTACCCCAGCAAGAGAAATCAAGAAAAATTTTGACCTTCAATTTTTTGTTTACTTCGATTAATTAAAAAAGTTCGACGACATTATGTAATACTAGTATATTATATTAAAGCGATATATTATCATTCTAATTAGATATCATTCATTAGTCTGATTCAAGCTTAAGACATCAATTTTATTTATTACTTTCATAATATGAATGACAACAATATTAAAGTCTTAAATAAAATCCATGAGAATAAGAAATTACGACTTTGAATTATAACCACTATCATAAATAGAGCATAAAATCAGATAATTTATATCATGATATTACGTCGACTATTTAACTTTATTGTTGTCTCCGGTCAGAAATAATATAATATGCAATCAATATATTTCAAAGGAGGATAACATACAATATAACAAAAAATAAATCACTTATTCACTGTGATTGTCCATATAATAAAGCTTCATATTTTTTATTATAGCAGCTGTTATTATTATTATTATTGAGATATAATTTTGTCATACTACATCTTACCACCTGTAAGAATGTCATGTTGCTAAATATAATTTTAGTTTAAACAAGATTAGTAAAATATCAAATGTATCAAGTAAAGTTTAATCTAGATGAAATCACAGCATTAATTCTATTGCAGCAACTATGAATCGATTATTATTGTGATACAATTTGATTGTTTCTTACGACCAGGAAGAATTTTCTAATCACAATATATCATGCAACCTTTTAAAAAGGATAGGAAAATATTATACGTACTCAGTTGAAATATAAAAATGAAACATAGTATTGTTATCGTTTTAAATATTGTATATAACTTCATCGTCCTTATAAACTATTAAAATTTTTATTTTGTCTTGAGCCAGATGAAAAAATATCTTACATGTCCTATAGAAATAAAATATATGCATACATAAGTTGCTGCAGAGAACAGTAAGAATACACTCTACGAATATACGTATATACTGTAATCCTTTGATAGTGGCAGTAGTCTAATAGATTGTAAATGTTGTAACAAGAGGTTATTAGCGCTCCGTAGAGCGAAATTAAAGAATCAAATTACTCACACTAGTATCAACGGAACAAGACTTCTATAATATAAGATATTATGGATCTAGCACTACATTCTCTAATTTTTAGCTCCAAGGATCATGTATACGAAAAAGCAGCTTAATTAAAAGGCCCCTAAAGCGTTAGCCCGAATCTAAAATGTTAAAAGATAACTTTAAATCTTCAAGCCTGAAGTTATTACCCAACCGATATTTGTAGAGCATAAAACTTATTCAGCGTGGATTAATAGCGATATACTTAATCAAAATAATAATAATAAAACCAGGGCTAAGAGCATTGAATATATCATGTCGACTATTGTTTAACTTAATAATTTAAAAACATGGCGACAATATAAAATGCTTAGACCTTTTCATTGATGGATTACGACAAAAACAAAAGAGGAAAAACTTAGTTGCAGTTATTTGATTATGAATATATTTGGTTAGATTGACAATATTTGATCTAATTTGATTTTTACCTCTTTTTTCTTAGTAGAGTGAGTTCTATGTTTTCATTCCTCATTTTTTAGTAAGTATGAACATTTTCTATTCGTTAATCACATCTTAAATTTCTTGAAAAATACTCTTTACGTTCTTGAGACAGTTAGAAGACAATCTGTCAACAAAAGGTGATTAATTGAAAGTATTAGGCAGTCATAACTATTCAGTCTTCAATATAATACATTATTAATAATAATCAATTAGTTAAACAATGGAAATAAACATCAAACTTTAATTTAATATGCTCTTCTAACATTGATTCAATGACATTAGAAATAAGAATAGTTAATTATTATCACTAATTTTATTTAATTTAATCATTTTCGTCATTAAAATCTTGCATTATAAAATTTCATTTGCTATCACTTCGACAAGCCGATTATAAGATTTACCATCAATGTTAACATCAAGGTGCTAATTATAATAACGTACTTCTCAGCGATGCAAACATAATTTTTTTGCTATTAGCTGATCGTACCTTTCATAGTGTACTGCAAGCTGATAGTAAAATGAAATATGTTCACGCCAAAAGTGATCTCCTACCCATCGATGTCGTGTGACTTTATTATGAAGATACAATTATTAAATTTATAACATAAAGTTAAATATATCCTACCTTAGAATAAATGATAAAATCTCTATAGTAAATCTATTGAAAGATGATTAATAATAGCGGCAGGAAGAGTGGGGCTTATAGCCGTATTTTGAAGAAAAATTCTTTCGATTAACACTGTAAAGCTGAATAAGAGCTTTATTGCATAGAGTAATGAGTTAGTTTACTAAATCGAATTAGATGGAGTACGCTTGGTCTCCTGACGACTAAGAAAGACTTATAAATCTATTACAAGAAATATATATTACCGATATTTAGGATATTAAGATAATTATTCTCATGTGCTGTATTCCAGAAGTTTTTTCCGTTTTTAAATTAAATTGACCGCATAAAATTTTCCCTGCATAGAATAAAGTAATATAACTAACAATTAACTAGTTCGATAAAATTGCTCATCAATGAATTAAGCTCTGATGTACATTTTTTGTGGGAAAAGAATTTTTCGCCAACGCTAGATAGAATTTGCCGCATTAGGCAGTACTTAGAATAAAATAATTTAAGGGTTTCAATGACAGCAACGAATTAAATTAGCGAATTAGTCATTGAAATTATTAGCTATTGGTGTTCAAGGTTACTAACTCCCCATCTATTAATTATCAATATCGGCTACTAGACCGATCCTTACCAATAGTTGTAGTTTGATGAGTTGTAGCACAGTTCTAGCGGAGTAAGTTTTTCTTTCTTATTTATGAATCTAATCTCTCATAAGGCGATTTATTAAATGTAACGTGGTAAAAATTTTCTTACACCACAATAATATAGAGAAGTTCCACTACCAAATGTTAAGAAAATAAAGTGAAAAATATTTCTTTCTTGTTCATATTACGAAAATCTAGAAACTCTTGTAATACTAGTTAGCTGTAATTAATCACTAAATGGGTACGGTAAGTTTAGATGATAATGAAAATAAGAAATGTAGCTTTATCTTATTCCGTAAAATCTATAGCTTGCCAGAAACACTTTCGGTCTTAACTGCATCATTATAGTTCTACAAGAGAAATAGTGCTACTTTTTTCTATGAGTAAAAGAAGATTTACAGTCAATACTGTCCCGTAAAATTTCAACTAATCATACTAAATACGGAAGGAAAGATTACGTATATGAAAGGAATGCAGAATGTCTTTTACTTCATAGTAAAAGTAGCTTACAGATACTGTCAGCACTAAAATTTAACTCCTGGTTAACAGTATAGATTAAAGACCACTACCAATATCGTCAAATATTTATTATGTCCCCTTTCTATGATTTAAATCTATTTACAGCTCTCCTGCAATATGGGAGATGTCAGCTATCTACACTGAAGTTGCTATTTTCCCGTAAATATTAATTTTTATTCAAAATTGAAGTTCGCACCATGAGTTTTATAGAAAATCTTTTTTATTGATTTAATTGCCACTTAATTGAGCAAAGAGTGAAATGACGTTTATGGTAAGTCTTATAAAATTGAGTGAGGAGTCGATATTTTTTTACATACAATAAAGGCGAATTGGGATCGATTTGGGTCGATAATTTTTGGACTGTTGTTTTTTTAAATAAAAATGAAAAAAACATAATGGAGGAGTGAAAATATATCGCAGCTTATTATCAAAGCTACAGTTTGATCTTTCGAATAGTTAACGAGACTGTACAACAGTCAAAGCCAATCGAAAAATCTCACCTGAGTTAATTGTAAAGCAAATATCATCAAAAAACTGATGTATAGTGCCATATTTTACAATTATAATAGTAGAAATGATCAAGATTATGGATAATCAATATTGCTTGATTACAAGTTTTTGCACTTTTTCAGTAGAGAAACATTATACATAGCCAAAAGGATTTTTTGGCGACAACAATCTACTGCTTCAAAAGGGTCAGTCAATTGCTGATAGAGTTAATATAAGAAAGCCGTGAAAGTTTAAATTCTATCAAAAAGGAAGTAAAACCTTTATACAATGTAAAGAGCAATCATGACATTGATTGAAAATATTAGAAAAGGCAGTGATTGATTCGATGTTATTCTATAATAATTTATATAGTACATACAGAAACGTATCCATTTTATGTTGATATCATTATTTGTTAGATAGAATAGTGTAAAATATACAATAACGAAAAAATTTACAGCTTGTACAAGAGTTAAAAAATAGCAGTTTTGCTTTCTATCCATGATTGCTACATGGAGAAAAAGGTCCAATTGTCAACTCTATTCTATTAAGATTGTATGATAATGACTATATCCATGTTGATTGATGTGAGGTCAAAGGCAAGAGTTGAAATATATTTTCCTATCGTATTTCTATTCTATTCGGCAAATAGAATTATGCTGATTGAAGAAAAAATGTTCCAGAGCTCATTCTTATTCCCTCTTTCACTTTATACAAATTGAAGTCAAGGTAGGCATAATATATGACACATCAAATAGTAAGAACTGGTATTTCTTATGCTTGTTTATCTTCACATAGGTAATCGGTCTCTTGCCTTTTAGGGGATGAAATTTTACTTAAACGAATAAATAATTCAGAGGATAATTCCTTCTTAATACTATCCGAGTAAGTTAACCAACGATGTTTCAATTTGATTGGATGGTCTTGAGAAAGTGTAGACCAATTTTCAAGGTGTTCTACGATCGTATTTCCTAATTCAATGCCTATCATCAATAAGATAGAAATAAATAAAAATTTTGATTAGATAAGCAATTCGACTAATGCCATTTATAAGTTGATTTCGTCATTCTATACCATTCAAATCTAATATAGAGTACTGATTATTTTCAAAGAAAAGCAGTCATCAATTTATCGTCAACGTTATTTTCTCTCTTACTTTCTCTCTTTTTTTCTCTGTCTCTAAATCTCCCCCCCCCCCCCCTTTGGGAACAGTTATTATAAACAACTGGATATACTAAAGACGGGAAACAGAACTAGTAGGAAATTTATTTTATTATTTTATACGGTAATATTTTGAAAATACGAATGGAATACAAGCTGACTGTCAGTACAATAGCGTGGTAAAAAAGTAAATTTAAAGAGGAACCATGGGGGAAATACAATCGATTTGTTTCCTAACTGTTGTAACAGTGATGTATTCTCATTTTAATTAACCTCATTTTTTATCCCCATGATGTTGTCTATAATAAAACACTTGATTTAATCAACAGACGCTACGGTAGGAGATGACTATCAATGGAAATGATTATTTCAATCATGACAGTAATCAAATTTTTTCATTGGTCGATGCAAGGAAAAGGACGCTAAACTAATTGCAAATTAGCGTTTAAGGCTCTCGCTCATCTCGAATCAGAAATCGTGTGAGCAGATTGTCCCGCCCAATAGGAATAATATTAAATTAAGGTATGTAAAGGACGTCAAATCGTATTGGATGAGAATCATTAGCATTGTATTTTATAGCGCGTGATTGATCTTTTTAACTATGCAGACGCTAAAGAAAAATGTAAAAAGAGATTCCAAAGCGTGGAATCGGGTGTGCTAGTAGCAAGCGGGGGGGGAAAAAACAAGCAATAACCGATAGAAAATTTAAAATTTCATGATCAAACAGGTTTAAACAAGTTAATCCGTCATCTTCTATCTCTTTTCTTATTATTCTATATAGAAATAGTCTTTTTCTATCTCATTCTACTGGCCATAGAGAAGTACAGTACAACCTGTATACACTTGTGTTATTACTTAACAATTCTTTATGAACTCCTTCAATTCGAGCTTTATACGATCACTCAAGTAGTTAAAATTGTATAAGACGATAAATAGAATTGAAGTAAAAAAAACACCCAGACAACAAATTGACTCGACTGGACAATATAGGATAATAGAGTCCAAGTTAAAAATTCAATTTTAACTTGATTAAATGCTAAACTGATGAGAAAAATCAATTCTATAACCAATAATAAACTTGTCTTGTATTCTATTGTTAACTACCTAACAATAAAGGTAATGCTAACCAAGACAAAACATTATAATAAAATTGTCAACATTAACGTAATGGGATGCAAGTTAATGATTAGACAACAATCATTGATTAGTTAGCATAATCATCAACAATCATCATTCAACTAGGATATTATTCATCTCGCTAGAGGGCTATGCTAACTTAGAGAATGCAAAGCAGCCATCAACGTAGATGACGAGAACTTTAAACAACCATTCCATTGAATGGAAATAATCATCAATATTATCATGGTATTGTTGATAATTAGAAATGATGGAATAAGCGACGAAAAAAACTGATTGAACTAAATTATAAAAGTAAGGCATGCAGAGGGAGAGAGAAGCTGCGTGCGTGTGAATATGAAAGAGAGAGAGAAAAAAAGTATTTTCTAACATCGTTCATGTCATGATATAAAACTTTGATATATTCATAGTTTCAGTCATGAAAGGCAAAATATGAACAATGCCGCATGACAATTTACTATATTAAATTGAATTATGCACAAATAGCTAATGAATATTTGATGATATTCAAAATTGTATCCAATCTATCATGTATCAATCTTGTGATGACTATTTCTATTTTTATGTTATTTTTTGCGCCATCTAATTCAATCTATATTAACATATAAAGAAAATATTATTGCGCTAGAGACACTAATTATAAAAAAAATTTGTCTGAAATGTTCATGTCTACATCACGAGTTAAGTTGATCGGTCTAATTATAAGGGTGTTAAATAAAATATTTTAAAGTGTCTCCTAATGTCTAGTTCAATTTCCATCGATTGGATTAACATTGAAGTCTAACTATCGGTAGACTACTTCTTAAGATGTAATATTCATTAAAAGTCAGGCTGATTTAAGATATAAAAAAATTGATAATTTAGATTACTCAATTTACTATCTGGTAAATTGAGTAATCTATAGTGAGTGTGTGTCTATGTGTAAAGAGCATTAACAGAAAAACAAAAAAAAGACAAAACTAAAAAAATATTTAATCCCTTAGTCTTATATTTAATTAAAATTAATCAGGAGGACTTACCGCGTAAATTTTGGCTATCTTCGTTCAATTGGCCTTTCATATAACTGAGAATAGGATGTTTATCACTAATTTTTTCCATAATCGTGGCCAAAGTTTGTGGCTGTTGAAGCGAGGAGAATAATCGATGAGCAACACAAAATGCTTGATCACTAAAATCGATATCGAGTACATGATTATGGTAGCCTTCAATAGCTGGGATGACAAAGTATTCCAGTACAGTTATTAGTGTATCACAACTTTGTTGACGCCAATCGCTACAATTGAGAGAATCCATAAACTGGGCAAAGTGTTGAGAGCACATTGGATCATCCTTGAAATTGATGGCGGCACACTCAAGAATACCATATTGGAGAAGTTTATCTTTAAGTTGATAGCAATGACAAATTCGTGAGACAGCTTCGGATAATGCCATACCACATGATTCACGCGTTAATGTATCTTTAGATAGTTGAATGATGCGTTTTAATGCTCGATCGCGGTCATATTTTCCCGATTGATCGCGGACAATGCGTGTCAAGATAGCGGTAGGAAAGAGGCTATAACAGCTCATACTTTGATCGCTTGCAACCGCTAAATCGTCAACACTTGCTAGTTGTTGTGCTTGTGTGGCTGTTAATTTATTTTGTTCAACAGCAAGTTGACGCTGATGATTTTTAACCTGACGTGCAATTGCTGCAGGAGCGATTAATTTATCCTGGTATAAAATTTTGTTCATTTGTGGACAAGATAAGATAAAATCTAAATTGCGAAAGCAAGCTTCCTGGAAAAGATTTATACCAATCATATCAACATTTAATTCTTCTTTAACTTGGCCGGCGTATAAATCAGCATGATAAACTTGCAACAATTTACATAGACGGCGCAGTAATGGTGCAACATAGTATTCATCAATTTCATCATGTAAGCAAGCTATTAAGCGATCTAAGCATTGATGGATATCCCAATCTTGTATCTCATCTTTGATAGCGTCCATCTTAGCATGATCATAACTGCGTAATTCCTGTAATAATTGGCATTTTGTACCTGTGATTCGTAAACGTTTTCGCATACTTTGATTGTTTTCATAACTTTTTCGCTTACGTACTTGATCACGTAATTGTTCGACAGTCAAGGGAGTATCGAGAGCTAGCCATCGGCCACTACATAACGGTAATTGATTATAATCGATGGGTTGATTGGTTGCCAACACCTGTTGTTGCTGTTGTGGATCATCTTCATCTTGTCTTTTCCTTTTTTGACTTATCATGGTTGGAGTAAAGTGGACATCGCCATTGATACCACCAGTTGATTGTGTGGCATCATGTGAATCCGTTGTCAATGGTAATTCCATGTCTTATTGCTGGACCAATAGAGGAGAGAGAGAGAAAAATATATCTATGTAAAGTGGAATTTATCTATCAAAGTAATCAAGAGTGATCAATTGATGAGAACGAATTAATCTGTAATAAATTGGTGAAATGCAATTTTTTTTTATAGAGTAGAGTTGAAAGGTTGGACTATCAAGTAAGTTAGTTGGAGGTCAAGGAGTAGAATGGCAGTCTATCGATGTTGCTGCTAATCGATGAACAAATCTAATGGGATAAGATTGTTTTCGATGGAGACTTTATATCCTTTCTTTCAAGGTAACTGGCGGGAAATCTTACCACTTTAGTATTGTTTAGTGATGGACACGTGATTAGTTCTCTTGGCGTCTTTTGATTGCTGGATTTAGAATATGGTGGAAATAACAAGTTTAATCAATTGTGTTGAATGCTTGCAATCATTACAATCTTCGCTAGCATCAACTTGACGTCAATGTGTTAATTTCCAGTGATTTGCAAAGTGATGAACCATTGATTGGAAGAGTGTTAACCTGAGATTTGCAATCTTCATGCTTGTGTTTACTTTATTATCATTGCTTGTTTCCTTTCCCTAAATGAACCAATAAGGGGAGGGAACAACAATCACATGATAATGTCCTCCAACTGATTGAATTTAACGGTTGGATTTCTCAATGTAGCTAGTTGAAATCCATGTAGAAGAGAATGAAAGCTAGAAAAAACGCTGACTGCCGTTGATTGCTAGCTCATATGATGCAGAAGCATCTTTTCCCATCATTCTAGCTAGCTATTGCAAAGAAATTGAATCTACTTTCCTCCTGGTATCAAGCCTACTTAGTTAGTATAATTCAACTTGTTAATATGTTATTACTAGGACCAGGTGTTTATTCCCACAGAACTGCCTTAGTTCCCATACCCTTCGACCAATCAAGACGTGGGAAAATATTGACCGACCAATAGGGGCTGGTCGCGTGCCGAGTTCTAGATAACCGTTATTCTATCCAATTGATGAATGTCTTACTGCATTCAATAGGCACCTTTTATCCTGATCGATCATCGATCATCTAACAATACAACCGTTAGTGGGTGTTGAATGAACAGAGTGTGGAAATCGCGTGTGAGTCAACTGCCTCTTGTTTCTAATGTCAATACCAGTTGACAAATAACATCATTAAATGGGGATTGACATAGGATATCCAAAAAGGGGGGAAAAAAAAATCATCATCTCCTACAACGTTGACAACGGTGTCGCTAGCACGACCGATAGCATGAAATTACAATCAGCGATGATGACAACAACATGGACAGCAAGTGTATTGTTATGCTTGAAAATTAAACCCTATACAATTTATAGTCGATCTTTATCTAAAGCAACAAAAAATTAATGCACCTGTAAAGTACCAATAGCCTAAGTTATGATTCCTAGTAATTGTCGAATAGAATGATCAATATCCATTAATAATCGTCATGAACAATCCATTTTTTTTCTCTTCTTGCACGATAAATCCACCCTATTGCTGATTCATTGTTACTATGATTACATTTCTTTACAGACGTGTACAATATAACGGTGAGAGAAAGCAAGCAACCCAGACATCGAAAGTTAAAATTGACTTACTTCTATCTAATCTAGTCTACCGATTCTGTAGTTGAAAGCATCAATCTACTTGAAATCACTGATCTTGTATAGAAAATGACCAATTACACTGATTGCTTCAATGTTTACGTAAGCAAAATAAGAATTACAGGGGTTGAGACTTTAGGACATTCAACAACAGGTTGTATCATCAAATAGGCTATCGGAAATATACTTAATGACTTAATCACGTAGCGATCAACTAACAAGCCGACGCCTAGCCTGAACGAAAATGATGCATGAAAAATAATTGATGCCTTCACAATATTGACATAAAATGTCTCCAAATGTATACCTTACGCTACTATCTTGTGACTTTTTTCACAAATAGTGACTCTTATCTCGTATTAAGTAACAACTATTTGAATTATCCCTTAATCATTTTAAAGGATAGCAATAGGCCGTCATTTTATTCTTCCCAAAAATGATCTGCACGTTAAAATAGAAATGACTCAAGATACCCGTCCGCAATTTACTCTTTAATTATCATTTAGCTTATCTTGATCGATTAAATAACTCTCCATACTGATTCCATGGGAATATTATACTTTGAATCCGTTATTGAATAAGATAATATAATTATGTAGGTTGGGTGTCTCCAAACCAATCTCGTAACATTTATAATAGATCTTATATTAAATCAGATCTTTCATAACATGGTAGAGCCTTTTGATCTCAGGCGATATAGATGCATTAGAATTATTTCATCTAGATAAATAAAATTTACTGTTGTTGATTTCTTTATAGCGTCGCCATTATTTAATTTCGATTGAAAGCGATAAGAAAGCTATTAAATGCTACATTCTACTGTTGTCAAGTAAGCTATAATCAATGAAGAGATATCAATTTTTGATTACATTTTGTTCCTTTAAGTAATAAATTTAGCCGCATCTTTTAATGGTTTTATCCATTCAAATACACGCTATATATATATATATAGATATATATATATAAAGATAGATTGAGACATACCGTATTATTAAATTGGCTTCTATTTTTTAATTATTTGATCTACGAGTATATCCTTAAAAATCATTTAAGATTAAAAATTTTATCTCATGTACTGTAGATCAAATTTAATTAAGACAACCTACAGATAAATAATAATACAACATGCTAATATTAGCTTTATCGCAATTCTATTACTGTAATGTTTTTAAATTTATTTTTCTCCTGACGTCAGTGACTGAGAAAGGAAAGAGAGCATTTTACTTCTAATGAGAACAATTACATACTGATATTTACTACACTATTGTTATGGTATTAATCAATAGACCAGATAAGGGATGATTTTATAAGTCTATTTATCGTTTATGCCTAATGCAAACTAATTTATCGATAGACTTGCCTTCAAAAGGAAATAAGGTCAACTCTACAGTGATTATAAAAGGGTATTATATGTTTAAGATATTGACTAGCTCTTAGCACAAGTCGTTAAGGTCTTCCTCTTGTCATGATCTATGAATAAGATTGACATTTTTGGCCATTTAAAAATCAACGTACGCGTATTAAATTTTATATGTCAATATACCATCTTCTATCATTTCTTCCTTTAAAATCGCTAATCAATTTTGGCAAGAACATTTTAAGTCTTTTTCTCACCAAATTAAACTTAATATAGAATGATAATATAAAATGATGGAAACTTGCTGCTTATTTCCTTGTCTGAGATTATTAGTACAATGATCTTATTGATGATCGTTTGCCTAATAGTTAAACAAAGTTTTTATTATTATAGAACCGACTCTTTCATTGTATCATTCAGATATACAGTACAGTAGAGTCGTTGTTAACCTTAGCGTTAGCATGCAGTATGCCTCTTAAATCAGTTACAATAAAAAACCATCTGTAGACTGTTGATTCCGTATTATCACGTCTACTTGTATACTGTAGTAAGATATTTAAAATAGAATTTGTTCTATAATGTGGTACAGAACTTTTTCCTAATCATATTAGATGATAAATTAAATTATAAAATTCGATACTTTGATAGATCACGGCTGTACAAGATGCAATTACTTTTATGACAGATACGGATATAAAATCAATTTATCATTAAGGAAAAACTTTAGTCTAAATAACTAAGATCTCACTATTTGTCTGAAGATAAGTATTATTGTAATTTATCTTAACAATAGTTAAACATTCTTCTAAATACTATCAATGAGTAATCAACATATGTAACGGCCCTTTCTTATTATTTTACTATGCAATGAATACAGAGATGGTTGTGTTAGTGTACATTCCCATGACACTGATGTCATCATAAGGATTATTTGTTTCAATGATTTTTACGTAATCGCTATAGTTACTTAGTCATTATTATATAATTTTATTACTTATCAATTTGTAACTAAATTTTGTTCTGAACAGTAATCGTTGTATCGCTCAATCACCGAGTTGTATTGATGATAGATAAACGATATTATGGTTTTTAAGCTGTTTAATATCGTACTGGTATATTCATTTAATGAATGATGAAAATTTTTTTCACCGAGTTGAATATTATCACGATAGCCAATTTTAATCCACATCGTAAAATAGTTCTAAGCAATAGTCACGCTAGCAATAAAATTATTTTCAAATAATACTTTTTATACGTCATGTAATGCCTGATTATTATTACCTATCCTGTAAATTATATTGATTTCGTTCAGTTTTAAACAATACTAAAAATATTATATTCCTCGAATAATGCTTAAAGATATTATGTAATTGTTTAATATAGTAAATAAAAAATTATGTCATCTACTGTTATGCCTCTTGTTACAGTTTTATATTTCCTTGCTAACAATGATCTATTTTGCCTATCCTAGTGCTACAGTAATATCGTTATAATAGTTCATTGTGTGCAATAAAGATATAGAATACAATGATTTATTAGCTTACTATAGATTTATTAGTCATGTTTCTACCTATTAGTAGGGTATCATAGCAAAAGGCGACGTATGAGTAAAAGCAGAGTACAGTAATTCTTAAATTCGTTGACGATAGTAACAGTCATGATCAATAACATTTTTTATTCATTAATTGTCAATTTGGTATTAACTTTCTTTTATGGAATGATTCAAGCTTTGCGCAATAAGTCATAAATTATTTAGCAATCTTATTAAATGTTTAACTGCAAAATAAAGTCTAGTAAACTAGTACATTTGTATTATCATTTCAAAATTAATCAGCTTGTTAATCAACAGTTTTTATCATTAAATCCGAGAATCATGGAATAAATAAATATACATATATTGCAACTTATAATCATAATTATTAATTATTGCGTAAAATATAAATATACGTATCATGTAATACTGTATATCCTTACTAAATATATCATAAACAACTAGTTAATATTTCTATCAACCAGGTTCTAACCTAAAA